CCCTAAACCCTAAAACACTAAACCGTAGATACTGAAGTATATACCTACAAGGGTTTAGGGTTTAGGGTTTAGGGTTTAGGGTTTAGGGTTTAGGGTTTACGCAGACCCTAGAAGACCGCCTGGTTGTTGATGCTCCTCGCTATCGATTGAATCTCCCTCTGCCGTATGCAGGTAAATATAAAAAAAATAAAAATAAAAATAAAAAAAAAAAAAAAATAAAATAAATAAAATAAATAAAAACTAATAAACAAATAACATTAAATAGAGGAGAATAGAAACAAATTACCACTAATATAACAAAGATGAAACAAAAAGAAATAAAAATAAAATAAAATAAAATAGAGACAAATGAAATAAAACCAAAAAGAAGACAAAAGAAAAGCAAACAAATATATATAATAAAACAAACGGAGACAAATAAAAACAATAAACGCAAATAGAAACAAATACAATAAAACAGAGAAAAAAGAAAGAAAAACAAGAAAATAAATACAAAGAGAGAAAACAAATAAAAACATAAAATAAAACAAAAATAATAAATTAAAGACAACGAACAGCAACAATCTAGTTACCTCGCTAGCTAGCTAGCTAGCTAGCTAGCTAGCCAGCTAGCTAGCTGGTTAGCTAGCTAGCTAGCTAGCTAGCTAGCTAGCTGGTATGAGACAGAACAGTAAATATAATAAATAAATAAAGATACGAGGAGACAACAACAAAAATAAACAAATAAAAAAAAACGAAATAATTTTAATTATAATAATAATCAAACAAAAAGAAAAAAATAAAACATATAAACAAATAAACAAACAGAAACAAACAAACGTAAACTAAACCATAAACCCTAAACCCTAAACCCTAAACCCTAAACAGAAAATACAAACAGAGAAACGAAGAAACAAATATATATTAGAATAAACAAAAAAACAAAAAAACAAAAAAACAAAAAAAAAACAAACAAACAAATAAAATAAATAAATAGAATAAGTAAAAAAGTAAAATAACCAAATAAAACAAAAAATAAATAAATAAAATAAATAAATAAATAAAATAAATAAAAGAAAAATAATTTAATAAAATGCTGCTGCAGTTGAGTCTGAAAAAGGAACGGGAAAATGGCTCGCCCCCAGCAGCTGTCTCGTCTTGAGAGTGAGCAAACCCTAAACCCTAAACCCTAAACCCTAAACCCTAAACCCTAAACCGTAAACCCTGAAGAGTATGTTTAGACCCTCGGATTCAAAGGCAGGGTAAATGAATACGTTAGTCTTAGTGTTGAGGGTTTAGGGTTTAGGGTTTGAGTCTCGCTGGCTAGTAGGGTTTAGGGTTTGAGGGTTTAGGGTTTAGGGTTTAGGGTTTGGCGATGCGGGCGTTGGCCGTTCAGATGCCAATCAAGCGGAAAATTGAATATGTCCACGTCTAGTAGCACTACCAGCTAGCTAGCTAGCTAGCTAGCTAGCTAGCTAGCTAGCTAACAACCTGGCTAGCTAGCTAGCTCTCTAACAGCCTGGCTAGCTAGCTAGCTTTCTGACAACCTGGCTAGCTAGCGAACAACCTGGCTAGCTAGCTAGCTAGTGAACAACCTGGGTAGCTAGCTGGCTAGCTAGCTAGCTAGCTAGCTCGGTGGGGAGATGAGGTATCTGTGCTATCTAGGGAGCGCTGAGTTGCAAGCGTTCTCTGCTAGACCCCAAACCCTAAACCCTAACCCCTAAACCCTAAACCCTAGACCCTAAACCCTAAACCCTAAACCCTTGTAGGTATTGCTGAGCAGCGCAAAGGGTTTATGAGGCTTCCAGCTGCAGCTGTTGTTGGGTGTCTGAACACGCCCATTGGGGTGTACAGACAGCTGAGCGCGGGGGTTTATGGGGGTTTATAAACCGTAAACCCTAAACCCTAAACCCTAAACCCGCGTATAAACAACGCCAGAAGAAACAAACTTTTGCTGTTTCCTCTCAGCTGCTGCTGCCTCAAGCATTGCCGCTTATTGAGCGGCTGGGTGCGCAGCAGCTGCATATACACCCGAGAGAGGTGCGGTCTGCAGCTTCTGCTGCTGCCGCTGCTGCTGCTGCTGCTGCTGCACTTCCTGCTGTTGCTGCTGCTGCTGCTGCTGCTGTTGCTCTTGCTGCTGCTGCTGCTGCCTGCATTTGCTGCTGCTGCTGCTGCTGCTGCTGCGTTTCCTGCTGCTGCTGCTGCTGCTGCTGCTGCTGCTGCTGCTGCTGCATTTGCTGCACTTGATTTAAAACTTGTGCTCTCTATACTCAATGTTTATGGTGGGGAGAGGAAGGCTGTGTTTTTTTTTTATAGGGTTTGTTGCTGCTGCTGCTGCTGCTGGGGTGTATGTACACCGCGTACACCCGAGCAGCAGCCGCGAGGAAGGTGCCTATACACCTGAACCCTGTATGCATTTTTTTTCTTTTTTTTTCTCTTCTAAAACAAAAGATATATACATATATTATATATATATATATATATATATATATATATATATATATATATATATATATATATA